CCTTGCTCGCCTGCAGCTGGAAGCGGGGCATCACTGACCACCAGTTGTTGCAGAGGCCGCAGCGGCTACCCATCAAGCATTCCGGCGTCGGCATATCGTCTGGCAGCCCGCCTCCTTCCGGATGTCCTTCTCGCTCCGCGGCGCCACCCGTTCCGTCTGCTTCCTGGAGCAAAAAATCTGAAAGTTCATCTCCTGGTGCAGCTTCCTGGCGTGCTCCATCTTCGCGGTGCCGGCCCATTGTCGTGGTGGTAGCCAATCGGCACCCGCAATCCTTCACGGGGCACTCCCACACCTTCTTGCCAGTGGCCTTGTCGACCTCGTAGCTCTTCCCTCGGGCCAGGTACTCGCCCCGCGTCTGCGTGGCGTACATGGTCTTCCTGTCCTCGGCCTCAGCTCCTCCTGTGCTGCCTCTGCAGGGGCCCTGCTCCTCGGCTCCACCTTGCGGTGGGTCGTCGAGCCTTGCCTTCCTCAGCCTTTTCCTCGTGAAGCCCGTGGCCCCGGTGCCGGCGGAACTCGCTGACGCCTGCGTCCCAGCGCCCTCCGGCCGCATCCACCTGGCCGCAATGCTCCCCTCCGGGCACATCCAGCTGGGGGCGGCCTCGCTCGCGCAGCTGGTTACCCTCTTCCTTCTTCCTGCCTTCGCTTCAGCCTCCTCCAGCCTCTTCCTCGTGGGCGGTGCCAAGGTCGCCGGCGCCGCCGGCGCTCCAGCCTCCTTGCGTCGCGGGTGCTCCCCCGGTTCCTTGGCGTCCTCGGCCGCGCTGTCGGTGTCGTCCAGCGGCGGCAGCCAATCGGCCCTTTCCTCCTCGCCCTCGTCGTCGCCTGCTCCTCGCAGCTTCAGTGGCCAGCTCCTCCGTCGGCGTGTCCTGCCACTCCATTTGCCGGTCCTCCTGGCCGGCGTGCAGCCGCAGGGTCTGGTAGTGCCGCCCTTTGAGCATGAGCGGCAGCGGCGGCCGCGCCTGCGCCCGTTCCTTCGCCTTCTTTCGCTTCGGGTGCTCTGGCGGGTGGATCACCGATCCTTTGTGCCAGCCCTTGTCCTCGCCCCACAGGTAGACGACCAGGTTGCGTTCCAGTGTCGCCGCGATGGCTGCCACTGTGCGTTCGCACACCCACCTGCGCGGCCGCGCCGTGTGGTCGACCCACTCGTCGTACTTCTTCGCCGCTGGGCCCCGCTCCAGCACCGCTGGGCCCTGCTCCATAACTGATGCTTGCGGATGACCTTTGTGGACTCCAACCGCAGCTGGGCCGCCAGCGTCGCCACCTCCTTGACGATCGCTTCATTCGCATTCCTTTTGGTCACCTGGTTAAAAGCTGCGGCCGCTGCCCGGTAACCGCAGCACCCGTCACCTCCCAAGTCCCAGAGCGTCCACCCGAACGCCGTGGAGACCTTCGCGCGCTTGTTGTCCTGCGTCGCATCGACGCCGTTGCCCCGCTAGCCGTCCTCTGCGGCCGCATCGGCCTCTTGCCCTTTGTCACCCTCGGCGTCCACCTCGATGGCCTCTTCCTCGGATTTCGCTCCTGCTGCTGGCGGTTCCGCCCCTGCTGCTCCAAGAATTCCCTCACGTCCGTAGCCGCCCACGCCCAGGGCGCATTCTGAACCTCGTAGTCCACTTTCTTCTGCTCGACCTCCGCCGACGTGCCCGCCGGCAACCTGTACCCGAATTCTGCCTTGCCTCCTCGTCTGAATGTGGGTCCTTCGCCACGGTCCTCCCCCAACACCCGTTGTAGGTACGCCGTGTCCGTCTTCTTCGGCCCACGGGATCCACCGCACCTCCAGCCAGGCGCAATCTGCCAGTAGGCGTTCACAGAAGATGCCGGAGTGACCACTCTGCGAGACCAGCGCTGGTGCGCGATCGGGTGCCACCGCAGCGATGAAGGTGACTGCCTCGTTCTCCCCGCTCTTGCCTGCCAACGTCTGGTACCCGTACATTCGCAGCACTTTCTGCGCCGGCCATGCGCTGTGCAACGCCGTGACTGGGCTCCTGGCCGCTGCTTTCCACAACTGTGCGGACCGGACCTCCGGTAGTCCCGTGAGGGAGAGAGCGGCCACCTCCAGACCAACCATGCGATCTGGCCGGCCTGGCATCTCTGTTCGTAACAATTGCGTCGTCGACTCCACGCCCCACCTTGGAGCGGTACACGATCGCGATCTTCACGGTCGTCAGGTCGTGGCAGGTCGCTCCATCCTGGAGCGTCTTTACCTCTGTGGCCGTTGCGGTCACCACCTTCACCTTCTCCAGCTGCTTCGCCGCGTCGACGGCCCTGGCGCCTTCAGCAGCGCGGCAGCTGTGATCACTCCTCGGCCGACCACGCTGAGCGGCTCAGCCGGGGCGCGCTGACAGCCTTCAAGACGGCGTTCCTGTAGCCTGTTTCGCTGCCTCCTGAGTATCCTCTTTTTCCTCCTCCTCCTCCTCCTCCTCCTCGCCCTCTCCTCGGGCTGCACCCGCAGCGGCCTCCTTCCAAGGCGGCTGTTCCTCCCGCGGCTGTCTCCAGCGGCCTCGCGGTCGGGGGGCCCGTCAACCTCCTCAAGTTCGCGCTGCCAGGATGACCCTCTCCACTTCCTTCAGCAGCCGTCCGAGTCCCCAGTCCTTGGCCGACCGGATGACTCCCTCCAGCAGTTGCAAGAGCTCCTCCTTCTTGCTCCTTTCCTTGTTGCCTCCTCCTCCTCCCTCTGGGCTGCGAGCCTTGTTGATGCCGCCCTCTGTCTGATCTGCCGTCCCGGCCTCGCGAAACGCCGAGATCACCTCCATCAGCTTGTCCAGCAGGGGTGTCACGTACCGTTACGTCGTCCCCTCGCCCTCCTGCACCCCGCAGCTCGGGCCGAGTCGAGAACGGCACGATCTCCCTCACCACCGGCTCGGTAGCGTTGACGTGCATGGGTAAGCCCACGTCGCCCTTCGCTCCTTCCTTTGACGCGGTGGCACCCGCGTCCTCCTCTGCCTCCTCCGCCGCCTCAGTCCTCGTGCGAAAGTCCACGCTCACCCCCATGGTGTTGGGATCGTCCGCGCTGCTGAGATGCGAGCTCTCTGCCTCCTCATTGCCGGCACTGTCCTCCTCGCGCGCCCCAGCGGCGATAGGTGGATCAGCGCCTCGCGTCGGTGGGGCTACCCGCGCCTGTGCTGAGCCAGCGCCACCTGGAGTCGTATCATGCACACGCCTCCTCCGTAGCGCCCGCTTCCTCCTCCTCCTCCTCCTCCTCCTCCTCCTCAGTCCTCCTCCTCCTGCTTGTCCCTCTCTCTGCAGTGCCCCTGCCGATGACGATGTATCGGGTGCCCGTCGGCCACGCTCGTGGCCACGTAGCTCTGCTCCCTCTGGACCTTTCTGGCTTCAGCAATGCGACACCTCCTCGTCCCCTCCGTTTTTGCCTCGGGCTCTTTGCCTGGGCCCTTGTGGATTCCCTGCCCATGAGTCCGCCCGCCCTCCTCCTACGTGCTCCGGCCCCTGACGAAGAAGGCAAGAAAGACGCCCACCACCACCACGTGGAGGGCCTGGATCTGGTAGCGAAGGATTAATGGCCCGACAGCCATCGCCACTCCCGAACCCAAAGTTAGAAGCTTCCCGGATGGGGTCGGCGGATTGCCCCGCATCGCCAAGGCATCGGCGACGTCGGCGGTGTACCTGCGACGCCAGCGCGGAGAGCACCAGGCTCAGCATCGAGCCGCATCGCCGATGCATCGGCGACGCGACGCGACCCTCCGACCCTATCTGCTCGGACCCCATCTCTGGGGGAAGACAAAGTTGCACAAACATAAAAACTCGGAGGTCCGCGCGGATTTCTCGGATCGGCGCTGGACCCCCTCCCCGGCGCGCGGAGCGCGCAGGGGGCGGCGCCAGAGGCGCCACCCGGGGAGCCCCAGCGCCGATCCGAGAAATCCGCGCGAACCTCAGAGTTTTTGTGTTTATGCCACTTTTTGTGCCCCTAATTGACTACCTACCAGACCACCCCAACCCAACCCGAAGACCCGAATTTCGGGTTGGGGGGGGTAAGGGTTCCACACGTGTTTTTTCGATGTTTCCCGACCCCCTCCCCCACTAGAAATCGAGGGCACATCTGCGCCTTCGGGTTGGGTTGGGGTGGTTTGGTGGGTGGTGACTAATCTCGGAGGCCCAGAACCCTGGACAGGTGGCACTTCTGTCTGGCGTCTCGGATGGCCTGCCAGCAGCCTTCGCCCCCCCCCCCTCGGGCTCCTGATCTCGGAGGCCCAGAACCCTGGACAGGTGGCACTTCTGCCTGGCGTCTCGGACGCCCTGCCAACAGCCTCCGCCCCCCCCCCCTCTCGGGCTCCTCCGGGCGGGGAGCGCAGGCCGCGGCGAGGGGCGGCCGCCCGCGGCGGCCCCCGCCCCTCTGCCTGCTCCCCCGCCCCCCCCCCCCTCTGTCCTTCCTCTTCTTTTTCTCCTCCTCCTCTTCCTCTCCTCCTCCTCCTCCCTCCTCCTCCTCCTCCTCCTCCTCCTCCTCCTCCTCCTCCTCCTCCTCCTGCCTGCCCCCCTCCTTCCCCCTCCTCTCCTCCATGGAGGAAGGACCCCCCCTCCCCTCCTTCCCCCTCCTTCCCCCTCCTTCCCCCTCCTCCCCTTCCTCTCCTCCTCCCCCTCCTGCTGCAGGAATACAAACTTTCGGAACTCCGCGCGCATGTCTTGGATCGGCGCTGGGGCCCCCCTGGCGGCGCCTCCGGGGCCGCCGCTGGCACGTTTCGCGCGCCAGGTAGGGGGGTCCAGCGCCGATCCAAGAAATCCGCGCGCCGAGCTCCGAAAGTTCTGCTATGCACATATTTGTTCATCGACTCTAGAACGAAAGAGCGAAGGACGAGATCACAACCACCACCACAGGCGCGAGAAGCCATGTAGGGGTCCTTTCGCATGAGACATCCCATTATCCTCCTGCTGCGTTTCCCCCCAATTTCCCCCTCGCTCTCCCCCTTTTCTTCCTTGCGTCGAAAGCACGCCCAAAAGGTGAGGTGCTGCTGATGAGTCATCGTTCAATTGAGCGCCAACGTCGGCCATACTCCTCAATCTTCGGCGCCTATGACGTCAGAGTCATCATCGGCATCATCGGCGGCGCCAACTGGTTTGCCATTGCCAGCGTCGTCGACTACCTCTTCACCGGAAGCGCCGGCCTGCCCACCAACAGCTGTGGCGCCGGCGGAACTGTCTGATGGGGCCTGCAGTGGTGGCAGCTCAGTTGTGGTTTTGGCTGCCGAAACCTGTGCTTGCATATGTACCCCGAACTCCATGTTCGTGCGGAATTGCATCACACTGCGCACGCGCCTCTCCAGGGTAAGCTGGAGAAGCTCACCCGCGGATCTCTCATGGCCATCAGGCTGAAGCTCGCTCAGGACCAGGTTGAAGAACTCTTTGTCGGTGTCGTACAGCTCCCACGAGGCTCCGTTCACCTCGATGATATGGTCGCCGGGGGCGATTGACTGGTCTGGGTGGCCTTCATTCCAGCGGCTCACCAAGCCTGTCTGGTCGATCGCCTTGACGACAACCCCGCTGTTGCCACTGTCGGTGTCTTCGGTGGGGGCGATCTGCCAGCCCAAGTGGTCTGCCAGTTCGGATCTGAACTGGAGTGTGATCCGTTGCTGCGTATCGCTCGACACCTGAATATCCTTGATAGGGTGTGCCTCTATACGAAGAAGAAGCGGCATAAACATAAACGTTCGATGGTCCGCGCGGATTCCTTTGATCGGCGCTGGGCCCCAGCGGCGCTTCCGGTGCGGACCGTCGAAAGTTCATGCTTCCTTCCGCTTCTGCTCGGTGCCTCGTCGAAGGCGTCCTGGATCGCCCGAGGCCTTCGAACAGAGACGTACGTCGACCTGTTCGTCTCCGGCACCCGCGTGGCGGCCCAGAAATGTCTCTTCACGTTGGCAATGAACACGGAGGAGTTGTGCTGAAACGCGATGGAGTCGACCTTCATGAGCTCGTCCCCTTCCAGGATCAAACTGCCCGGGTGATCTCTGTTCCAATTAAACACAGCTCCGTGAGGCTCGATTTTCTTGATCACGGCCGGCTTCCACTCCTCTGTGGCGCCCAGCTTCCAACCCATGACGGATTCCATGGCCTTCCATGAACTCATCCGGTTTTCTCGGATCACCTCTGCGAAATCACCAGGCAAGGGAAGCTCAGCGACGAACTCCGCCGCGTAGTCCTTCTGGTGCTTGTCCAACCGCTGATAAGCAAAACGGGTGTGCTTCCAAACTCTTGGCCTCCGGATGTAAAGCCGAAATGTCTCGGGCGAACCTTCCCATCTCTTGCGCCCGGCTTTCCACTGGCCAGCGATGTGCTTGATGAACGTCTTCGTGTTCGCATGCCATTGGACGTTGTTGACTTGGACGATCTCGTCGCCCACATGCACATCCTTCCCAGGGTTGGCATCGTTCCACGCTTGTATCATGCCGTTCTTCTGCACACTGTGTACCCGTGTGGCATCGTAATCTGTCATCCTGTCAAGGACAATTCCCAGCCTGACGGAGAAGAGCTGAAGCAAGGCCTTGACTTCAAACGTCGTGCACGCACCACGTCGCCATCAACAAACATACGCTGAAACTCACGACGCCAGCTTCATGCCGTGCGGGATTTCCCGAGCGGCCTCGATCTGTGGGGGCCATGTGGTGGACGCTGAGGTTTTGGGGATCCCCATGCAGGCCCGAAGCTTAGCCCAGCGAAGAACAACGGAATGCATAAGAACACGTTGAAGGATCTCGACAGCTCTGCCAAAGACGGCCAGGCAGCGGTGGAGCTCCCTGGGTGCCACGAAGCGTGGGACAAGGTGTGCCGAAATGGGCGGGGCGACGCCACGCGGACGCAGCCACTGGAGCCCTCGGTGCAGCTCCCAGGGTGCCACGAAACGTGGGGTGCGTCGAAATTGGCGGGGCGACGCCATGCGGACGCAGCCATCGGGCCCTCGGTGCAACTCCCTGCGCGCAAAGATACGTGCGAGGGGTGTGTGCCGAGAGGAGCGGGGCGACAACGTGCGGACGCAGCCACTGGAGCCCTCGGCGGAGCTCCCAGGGTGCCACGAAGCATGGGAGGGGTGTGCTGACATGGGCGGGGCGACGCCACGCGGAGGCACCCACTGGGGACCTCGGCGGAGCTCCCGGTGGGCTATGAACGGAAGGAGGGGTGTGCCGAAATGGGCGGGGCGACGCAAGGCAGACGCAGCCATTGAGGCTCGCGGTGCAGCTGCGCGGGGGCCAAGATACGTGTGCGAGGGGTGTGCCGAAAGGAGTGCGGCGACAGCGTGCGGACGCAGCCGGTTGGGCCCTCGATGCAGCTCCCTGGGTGCCACGAAGCGTGGGAGGGGTGTGCCGAAAGGGGTGGGGCGACGCCATGCGGAGGCACCGACTGGAGACCTCGGCGGAGCTCCCCAGGGGTCCCGGAGTGCGGGAGCGGTGTGCCGAAATGGGCGGGGCGACACCATGTGGACGCACCCACTGGGGCCCTCGGTGGAGCTCCCTGGGGAGTGTGCCGAATTCGGCGCGGCGGCGACATGCTGACGCAGCCACTGGGGCCCTAGGTTGAGCTTTCTGAAGGCCACGATCCTCGTGATTGGTGTGCCGAACGGAATGCAGCAAAATACGTAGGAGCGGCAGCGATGGGAGGAGGGAAGAGGAGGAAGAGGATGAACGAGGAGGAGAAGGTGCAGAGGAGGAGTGGGAGAGGGAGAAGGATGAGGAGGATGGTGATGATGAGGATGAGATGAGGATGAGGATGATGATGAGGATGATGATGTTGTTGATGATGATGCTGATGATGAGGATAATAGTGAGGAGTAAGGGGGGAGGAGGAGGAGGAGGAGGAGGAGGAGGAGGAGGAGGAGGAGGAGGAGGACAAGGAGCAGGAGTGAGGAGGTGAGGTGAGGACGTGCGGCGCTGTGTTTTCGAAACGAGGATCCAACACACAGGAGGGTTGTAAGAAACGACACGAGCAAGCCCAGATGTCGGTGCCGGGTGGGAGGAGCAGCAAAAGGAAACCAAATGCTACCCATATTGCTAATTACATCCCGGAACTCTCCTGGGGTGCGTTCTGACCAGAATTTCGAGGTGAATCCAGCGGTGGCGACGAGGGCCTCCCAGGAGGCGCAAACTGGCGAAAACGACGCAAGGGTAGCAGCACTGGTACATTCTCCTCTGAAGCAGGAGCAGAGAGGGGAGGCGAGGCCAACAATCCTGAGCCCAGTCTCGTGTGCCTCGGTCATGTTTCGGGTGTTGCTAGACGTGCCCCTGGTCCAAGGTGCAACCACGATTTCCAAGGAGCCCCCCACGGCCTCCAAAGCACCCCTCACGAGGCCCAGAGAGAGAGAGAGAGAGAGAGAGCACCAGGGGCTCCAAAACTGAGCGAAAAGATGAAGCTGGGGGCACCTTGGGCCAGGGGCACCTATAGCAACCCCCGAATGTTCAGCTCCACGACGAACTCCGCCTCGTACTTCGAAGCGTGGGCCTCGGCGCGCTGCTGCGGAGACCGGGTCGTTCCTACCGGCCGCTCCGGAGCCCCGCTGGACTCCTTGGAGCCCGGCTCCGCAGTGGCCGGTCGCTCTGGAGCCCCGCTGGACTCTGTGGCCCCCGTTACTGTGCTCTGGCCAGGTGTGGCCAGGCTCGAGTGCTGCAGCTCCGAGTCTGGCCTGTTCAGGCTCATCCACCAAGGCTCCTCTGCGCTCTGGCCGACTGGGTCTGTCGTGGTCTGCTCGGCTTCCCCATCGTCCTCGCCGAGATGCACATCGTCCGGGTCGTCCACGAGGTCGTCGATGAAAACTAAGGAGGATGCGTCTATAAAAGTCCCCCTTGTCATGATCGCGCGAGAGGTCACCACATACTCTGCCAACGCCAGCGCGGCCAGCATGGCGGACCGCATAGTCGGGGAACGCACGAGCGGCTAATAAGGAAGTGTTCAGAAAAACAAAGCCGCTGGGCCGCACATGCAGTGACGGAGTTGCAGAACGCGTATATAAAGGGGGAATCGGACCGGGAGGACGAGGACACTAGAGAGGACGAGGAGGAGGGCGAGGCGGTGACCTCGACGGCGACGAGGATCACGTCCGCCCACCCCCGCTCCTCGGGGACGGGAGAGCGCGCGAGAGGATCGGGTGCCCCGCCGTCCCTTCCCTTCCCCTCCCCGGGGTCCCAGAGCCCTGCAGGGGGGAAGGGGAGGGGGGGTCTCCAGAGCCCTCGGAGCCTCCGAGTCCATGCTTCGGCACGTCCAGGATGCGCAAGAGATGCACTCCGAGACGGCTCCAGAAGAGCTCCTCAATGGCCAGAGGGCCTCAAGACCACTGAGAGGCGCGAGTCATGAAACGACTCCGAGGCTGGGACCCCGCAAGGGAACCCCCTTTCTGTTTAGCCGAGGGCAGTCTGCATCGTCGTTCGTGTGGTGCTTGAGGCTGTGCTTCTGTCTGCTCCTCCTCCGTCTCATCCTCCTTCTCCTTTTCCTCCCACCTGCTGCCAATTCTCTTCCAAGCCTCCTCCTTCTGCCTCATCCTCTTCTTGGCCCCCTCCTCCTCCTCCTCCTCCTCCTCCTCCTCCTCTTCCTCCTCCTCCTCCGCCACCTCCAAAGACTTCCCCATAATGCACTCACAGACGAGGCTCCCGATCTAGACGCCCTCGCAATCCAACTAGATCTTCACACTTTGCCCAGGAGAGATGCTCCCGCTCGAGACATCTTCGGTACTCAGGGTGGCAGGTGGTAAAACCCTGGTACTTCACATCCTATGACCCCCTCGAATGACGAACATGAAGCGCAGACCCAATAGGGAGGGGGCTCCCGCTTGAGACTTCCTCGCAAGTCACTCACAGACGAGGCTCCCGATGAGTGAGTACTGCCGATGTGTGTTTTTGCGAGAGGGCATGTGTGAGCGTGAAGGCGAAGACGACGAGACGCCCCACTTAGGACGTAGGGAACTAGCAATTGTCCAATGACTTTGGCAATCTCGCCTGTTGGTTTCCGTTCGTTCCTGTTGCCTGGCTCTGCTACCTGCAACAGGCCTTGGCTCACGCTCCCCGCCAGCTTCTCTGGATCCTGGATGTTCAAGTTGGGTGCGCGGGGTCAATGACTGAGCTTGTTAGAAGGGAGCTCGAGGAAGCCGCCGAGTTTGGCCCCCCTCAGGCTGTTGAAGGTAGCCCCGAAGGATTTTGGGAGCGAGTTGCGTACGCCCGTCAGAAACCAACGAAATTCCACACGCTCGTGCGACAGGCTTGGATTTCTAGGAGATGTTGACACCGGGACCCGTGCCATCTCAAGGAGTGGAGGGAGCTGGCCAGGGCGGTTTGCCCGTCTCCTCTTCTGCCCCGCCCCCCCACGCTGCCCTGGCCGCGCATGTCTGCTACGAGTGCCAGGCTGCGTGTAGAACCCCGGGCCTCTGGAAGGCCCATTTCTCCAAGAAGCATCCGTCCCTGGATCAGCATATCTTGTATGCCCATGGGTCGCGATGCAATGCCGGCGGCGTGGGATTCCATACTCATCTGCGCCTTGTGCGTCAATTGGGACATCGCAGCCGCAATTTTTGGCGGCGATAGCCGCTGTGACCCCCCCCAAAAGCAAGGAGCAAGTTTTGCCCGATAAGGCTGAGAACGCGACTCTCAGCAAACAACTCCGCCAGAACGGGGCGTACGAGGAGAATGCACTGATCCCTGCGTGAGTTTTGGTGGGCCAAGCCTTTGCCCTGCCCCTCCCCTCTCAGGCGCCGCTGGAGCGGTTTGCCGTGGAATGTGATTCGGGACGTGAAGTTGGCCCACGGGAACCTGCCGCAATCGCTCCTTCTGTCCTCCGTGACTCCTTCACCTACGTCCTATTTTCCTCCACCTTTTCTCTGGACAGCGACGCCCTAAGGACCTCGAAGCGTGGCTCGAGGCGTCAATACGTCGACCCTTCTCTGTAAGCCTCTCTGGGTGCTTTCGCTGGATGTTGCTAGTGACGGGGGTCAAGGTGTCCCTCGGAAGACCAGCACCTTGCGGTACTGGCGGGGCCTGATGGCCCAAAACGTCGTGATCGGTCTAATGGGGTGCGCCCCGTGTAAGACCTGGTCTGCTGCCCGTGCTGTGGACCTCGACCAATCGTCCTGCTGGCTCGAGCTGGACGGGTCCGCGACCCGTGAGGACGGTTGCTCTCCCCCAGAGAAAGGAGGGCCTCTCGGCCCAGGAGGGGGCAGGTCACCGTTGGGGATGAATTTCTGCGCGCTGTGGACCTCTTTCTCGTGAGCGCCCATATCACAGGCGCATGTGCGATCATGGAACACCCAGAAATGTCGTGGAGAACCGAGTCCCTTCCCCTCGAGTTGGAGGTTACTTGAACTTGTCTGGATTGCGTCTCTTGCCTCTGCTTGCCTCATCCGGCTCGACCAACGAATGTTTAGATGTCACCATCTCAAACCGACCCAGTTGTTTGATATGCTTGTCCCGCCGCCCCTCGGCTCTTGGCTTGCTGGCAGGGGGCGAGACGGTGCCAGCACCCCGGAGGGCACCTGGCGGCCGTGCAGAGCAATAGGTCGGGTTCGTATCGCACCGCTCCTCTCAAGGCCTAACCGTTGGCCTTGTGGGGGTTCCTTGCTGCAGCTTTCCTGGAGAATTTCCCGCGGGTGTCCAGGGGGGCCTACTGGGAAGAGGCGCCTGAAGAAGCGAAAGGTTTGTTCATCTCCCTGGACCCAGACCCCAATTATTCAACAGCATGGTTGTGCGTTGGGAGGTGCTGCAGCGTCATGAGTTGCGTTGCCCCGCGGCGCCCGTTTGCAGCAACAGCAGCATGAGGAGGAGAAGGAGGAGGAGGAGGAGGAGGAGGAGGAGGAGGAGGAACAACAGGAGGAAGAGGAGACCCCGGCCCCCCGCGCAGCGGCCGCCTCTGCGCCCCGCCAGCCGCGCGGGCGCGCGGGCGCGATGTGCGCGCAGGGCCGCCGCCGCCGCGGGGGTCGCCCATCCCTGCGGACGGGCTGCCAGGTGGTCGCGGTGCGTTGCCCGAGAAGGCCTCCTCGGCTTCCTTCTCATCGTCCTCCTCCTCTTTTTTTCCCAACACTCCTGCGTTGGGTAATCGTTTTGAATAGAGCACTGCGGTCTCCGTTCTCCTCCTCCCGCCCCCCTCTCTTCCCTCCTCCTCTCCTCTCTTGCTTGCCTTCTCCTCCTCTCTTCGCTCCTCCTCTTCTCTTCTCTTGCCTTTCACGTCATCCCTGGCGGGCTGCGATCTGCGGAACTGTCACTACTTTCGAGGGCTGCTGGTGGGTCCAGCGGAGTGAGGCACCACGGGGACTCAGATTAGACCTCGCCATCCCTGGGGGGGGGGGCTGCGATCTGTGAAACTGTCGCCACTTTCGAAGGCTGCTGGTGGGTCCAGCGGAGTGAGGCACCACGGGGACTCAGATTAGACCTCGCCATCTCTGGGGGGGGGGCTGCGATCTGTGAAACTGTCACCACTTTCGAGGGCTGCTGGTGGGTCCAGCGGAGTGAGGCACCACGGGGACTCAGATTAGACCTCGCCATCTCTGGGGGGCTGCGATCTGTGAAACTGTCGCCACTTTCGAGGGCTGCTGGTGGGTCCAGCGGAGTGAGGCACCACGGGGACTCAGATTAGACCTCGCCATCTCTGGGGGGCTGCGATCTGTGAAACTGTCGCCACTTTCGAGGGCTGCTGGTGGGTCCAGCGGAGTGAGGCACCACGGGGACTCAGATTAGACCTCGCCATCTCTGGGGGGCTGCGATCTGTGAAACTGTCGCCACTTTCGAGGGCTGCTGGTGGGTCCAGCGGAGTGAGGCACCACGGGGACTCAGATTAGACCTCGCCATCTCTGGGGGGCTGCGATCTGTGAAACTGTCGCCACTTTCGAGGGTTGCTGGTGGGTCCAGCGGAGTGAGGCACCACGGGGACTCAGATTAGACCTCGCCAATGTGAGAAACTGTCACCAGATGAGAGGCTGCTGGTGGGTCCAGCGGAGTGAGGCACCACGGGGACTCAGATTAGACCTCGCCACCCCTGGGCGGCTGCGATCTGTGAAACTGTCGCCACTTTCGAGGGCTGCTGGTGGGTGGCCAGCGGAGTGAGGCACCACGGGGACTCAGATTCTGACCACGAGCAATGCTCGCGTGCCCTTGCTCTGCGGTTCGTGCCACGTGGCGCTGCGACTCGAGCTGGCGGTCGTCCCCCGGACCCGCAGAGACGCCTGCTGAGCTCGATGAGCAAGGGGAACTACTGGAAAGAAGTGCAGGAAACGGAGGCCAGTCATGCACTCGCCGATACCTCGTTGCTCTGTCGTCGTCTTTGCTGTTGCATGATCCTTATCTGGCCTGCCGGCGCCGCGGCTCGAGCTGGCGGTCGCCCTTCGGGCCCGCGGGAACATCTTCCGAGACAAGTGGACGCCGCCGCCTTACTTGCAGGCAGCGCATTGCATTCGCGGACAGCAGCATGGCAGACCGCAGTGAGATCCTCAGTCGCGTGGTGTTGCCAAGCCTGGTGGAAACGCGCGTGATCGACCTGAAGTCCCAATCGCGCGTGCACTGTACCTGCGTGGCGTTCAGGCACGCGCGTGATGCTGCTCGCTCCGCGTTCAACCAGTACGTCGCCAGTGCAACTTTGGACGATGGACAACCGATTGATGATGCGCGACCCCGGCCTTGAGTTTCTTTCCCGCGGGCCGCCCGCAGACCTGGCGGCGCGCCTGCGAGCGTTCAGCTCCCGCGCTGAAATGTGCGGGAAGGAGGCGGAGAAGCTAGCGGGCGAGCTACGCCTCGCTCGTTCCTTGCACTCTAAACAAGTTTTATCATGTGGAACTCTGCGACGACATGGCGCAGGCAGCGCTGCGGGTTTAGCTCGCACTTGAAAAACGCGGCAGTCTTCTGTCTCCTCCCGCCACTTTCATCGTCGTCCTATTCCCCGCC